AGGGTACTTGATAACTTTCACTTTAAAGTAAGTGTAGCCTTCTTTGGGTATCTTTGGTTTGTGGGTAGATATGGTAAATATATAGCCAGAAATTAAACTTTTTATCTGTGTGCAATCATTTTGACCATTAAATACAACAATATTTCTACACGTGCCCCTGAACACTGAAAACATCTTTCCTCACATATGGGGGTTAACAAATCTTTATTCCTGCAACAGAAGTCAGAAATATTTGGAAAATATATCCTTATGTTTTTCTGCTCACAGTGACATCATTGTGCACTCTGCATTCCAGTAAAAGAAAAAACTGAGAAATATTTTTAAGTAAAAAGTTTTGAAATTACAGAAAAAAAGTTTTAAGATTACTTTCCTCCTAGAAGAAGGATGAAACATGAGTTAAAAAGAATTCCCTGTTTACACTGATAATACTAAGACAACATCAGTATATTCTTGAAAAAAATTCATTGACTATGAAGGTTTAGATAACTGTTTTCTCCTTTGAAGAATATTGTATCTTCTTGAAGCCTTTTTGGAAAACCTGTTTTCTCTAAATAAAGAATAATAAAATAATCCAGTTCTATCCCAGGATCAGATTTTTACCAAGTTCAACATGTGATCGTTCAGTGGTAAGAGTTCATGTCATAAATTGCTCATTAGTAATTCTCTTTGACTTTGTCATAATTTTACTAGTCAGAGATGTTGGTATACTGCATGTTTTGATGTGGCTTTACATAGCCTTTCACATCTATGGCAGCATACTAAAATCCCCATCACTTATTTCTTAACATATACGTAAAGGAAATACATGCTTGCGTAAACCTCCCCGTTTCTTCACACTTTTCTGAATTAGCTGTTCAGGTGGTAAGTAAACTCCAGTATACCTGTTTCATTGCCAGCATTTCCTAAAGTGTAGGAACATTTCTAAATTCTATGGTGCAATTAATTTAGGTACTAGAACTGTTACAGGAAATGTAGCATGTGATGCTGCAATGTTCGTCCCCAGGTTTCCTGTTTGCCTGTCAACAAAATAAATTATCTTTAGCAGAGCTCTTGTAAAAGAATGAACTCAGGTGTTTCTACATGGCAGTCTATTGTATTGTGAACAACTGTTCCAATAGTTACACATGTACCTCTTTAGGTATGTTAATTTTGCTAAAGGTAAATAAAATTTCTCAATAACTATATACTTGATAATCCTTATCTAAATATTTAATTGCCTCTTATGCAACTGAGTGTCAATATAGCAAAGCACTTCAGTATGTGTCTAACATGGGAATCAATTAGATTTTTATTGTGTTTAAAGTGAAGCAAAAGCTTTAGTGCTTTACTGGATCATCATGTTTCACAGGAAATGATAGAGAGCTTCCTCCTCGCTTTCCTAGAATCTCCTAAATTACTTGAAACTTCTAAATTAGTATCAAATTAAAGTAAACTTTTATTAAGCTGATAATGACAATTCTAGAAGCATAGGGACAGAAGAAACTTATTTCTGTTTTCTGATGCAGATTATTGTTTCGTTACACCAGCTTTGACAGCTGTTTGTTTAACCTGTTGTCAAATAGATTCTTAATCATGGTTCAAGTAGAGTCTTTCAGCTGTTAAATGTCTCATCATTCTGAACTATTTGGGACATTTTCCTCACTAACATGCAATCTCTATTTATCTTCTGCAAATGAATATTATCCAAAACCTTTAAATTCTAATTCTTATGCAAAAGTGTTTTTATTTTCCCTTTCCAATGAATCCAAATTAGCATAATTATTTCAGGAGGCTGGGAGTGGGGAAAGAAGCAATTGAAGCTTATGCCTTTGTTGAGACCAATGGAAAAATCCTTTTGGTTTCAGCATAATGCTGATTTCCTTTTTATTACAAGAACTAGTGCATGAAGGACATATTTTATGGGCTAGGCCATCTCACACTTTAAGCTGAGTATGTGCTGGAGATGGGTACAAAATACTTAATTTCAAAATAATTAATATGACTACATGGCAGAGCAAAGTTTCCACAGGAAATTAACTTGAAACACACTTGTTAGTCCACAGAAATTGCTCTGATTTTCACCGTAAGTGTAGTAAATGCAATATAGTTAACCTTTGTTTGTTGAAAAAAATGCAAAAAAGGTCCACAGTCTGATTTTTACTACAGAATGTCAAGTAAACAGTAACTTAATATAGAATAGGTGTTATGTAAATTCGTGTCTTAATACACGCACTGTTGTAACCTGTTGATGTCATAGCACAGACATTCCTTTTTAAAGCTTAAAGAGATTGACTCAATTTGTGATAAAACACCAAGGACTCTTGCATTAAATGTAAGTTTATAAACATAGAATTTGCACATATAAATCTTCAAGTACATGTTTTCTCTTGAGAATTTCTTGCCCTAGACTACCTTGAGAAACCTTCTTTAAGGATTTTTCTCCATTTCATGACTTGTTACAGGGCAAGTCACTTTTTGATTAAAAACTCTGGGGGAAAAATCCCAAAGAAATAAATTAATGTCTTATTAGATATTAGTTTTTTTTTCAGAGAGAATAAATTAGGAAAAAATAAATTGCTTACATTTTAATTAAAAGAAGAAAACGAAGTGTTTATGCTTATATTTTAAGGAGAAATTATTTTAACCAATTACCCAACCACCAGGGAAATTAATACAGAGCCTCAGAATTACTGCTTATAATGTAAAAGAAATCTAAACTGTCTAATCAGATAAACGTTAACTTTTCAAAAGCAAGATTTCAGTTCCATTGATTGAAGCTATTTCTGAGACATCCAGATAAATATGGGTTTGAATACTAGAGAAATAATTGCATAAACCGATTCATACTGGGGAAAAAGACTCTATTTTGCATATGAGAATTTTTAGTTCATAGTTCTCCAAAGCTGTTACTCTGGAGAAACACTTTGTTTGCTTTTATTTTAATTTTTCAGTTTTGGGGGCAAAGAGAGAGTTGGCATTGGATTACAGAAATTTATGACAAAATAAACAATATTCTAGAACTTCATTTGTATATGTAGATTTATTTTTTACTGAATATTTTTTACTTTAGATCTGAGAAAGTGTGCTTTCTGCTTGCTGTATTTAAAGTGGAACAAGAGGAACAAGTTTTATGAATTATATAGATAATAAGAAGCATGCCCTGTAGTTTCTAGTTTAGATATATATGTGTGTCTATGCATCTATATACATATATTAAAAATTGATATTTGTATTGCTTTTACATTGAAATAATATTTAGAAATACACTCCAGTCAGCACTTTAGACTCAGATTCACGAAAATATTTAAGGAGGTGGCTTAACTCTGGATATAGCTATAAGTGCTCAACTTACAGTATCTTCCTGTATAACTTACAGTATACTTCCCACAAGGAGAGGTATGATTGCTGTAATCATTTACACTAATCTATATGATGCCATGTGAGAGAAACCTAGATTCCTTCAGTAGGAGTTGGTGTTATTTTTGAATAGTACATCGAATGTGTCCTTGTGGAATTCACAGCACCAAAAAGTGGTGTAAACTGAGTCCCTGAGAGACAAGACTGAAAAGAATGACACAGTATAGAGTTGTTATAAACATTTACAAATGCATTATTTGAAGCAGCTGTTCTCTGAGGAAGAAAGAGGACTGTGTAAAACAGTCTAAAAGTAGTTATCTGTTTAGATAAAACATAGAACTAAGTCAAGGTGTATTTAGAATAAATATAAAAAATAATCTGAGATCAGTAGAACATCATTGAAGTGACGATCACACAGAAAGCGAATGATAATAGATCATTGATCTGATGATTGCCCATAATATTAAAGACAAGTTGACACTTCACTTTATGAGATAAAAAGCTTTCAGCCATGTTTAAGAATGAAAGTCCCATTTGTCACCATGCATATCATTCTTTAAAAAGCAGATTTTAAATAACTTTTCCCTTCAAAGTGTATGGCCTTTTAGCAGTGCAAAATAAATCTTCTTCTAAGTTTACTTTTTTCTAAGTAATTTTTTCTAAATCTACTTTTTTCTGTTTCTGATGAAGTTCTTGATTATGTGCCATCCCATGGTACCTGAGTTTAGTAACCTTTCCTTACTGTGACTTCTGAAAGACCTTCCCTTTGTTAAGGTTTAACCACGTAGGAACAAGCAGTGGCTTTTGATCTCCTGTAAAGAAACTCCCTCTGTTAGAGCTGGAAATAGATTTATTTCTTGTTTTGACATACAAATATTCTGTGTATTTTCTCAATACACATTGCACAGCAGGCAAAGAACATTGATTATATAGAAAACTTAGTGTTGAAATGCATCACCACCTTCTTGAAAAGCATTGCTTAGTGCCCAATATGCTGTTCTGTCACGTTATTTTTCCCCTTCCTTTCAAAAGGAGTCTGATGCTTAGAGACAGAATTCTTGTTTGAGATCTCATCAACTCTTCATTCCACATTGAAGTCATCACCTGCGGACATACATCATAATTATTTTCACAGCGACCAGTTATGATGTATCAGACAGAGCATTCTAAATTAGAAATAAGCAGCAGATAAGTGCTAAAATGAAATAATACCTACGATGTATTGAAATTGGCCCTTGTGTTGAAAGGAAGAAAAATTAAGAGGGAAAAGAAGAACAGATCAGGAAAAAAAAAAGCTTGACACATGCTCTACCTCTCCAAGCAGAATATTTTCAGGTCCTTTTTTTATGTAAATTTAATGTTCACTATAGGAAAAAATCATGCTAATTCACAAAAGGAATTTCCAAATATGGTAATGTATTTGGCCAAGTCACTTTTAATTTTGATAAAAGCAAACTTTCACTGGGAGTAAATAGTTACAAATAGATAGGAAATATATATATGATGAATGGGAATATATTTATATAAAGATGTGAATAGTGACTATGTAAACTACAGATTGGTATTTTAAGTGGGAGTGCGTAGCTATAAATACGTGTATTATGAAAAATGAATTCACTGAGGTTAACAGGAATTTTGCTTTTTTTTTCTAGTTCATGCTTTTGCTGGGATGGAAGGGCAGAGGGGGAATGAATGATAAGAAGCCATTTAATTTGTATTGGGTTTAACGCTAGTGAGATAGGCCATGAGAATGTCTTAGGGCAGAAGTAGCCAAACTTCTTGACCTTTGAAGCAACGTATCAGTACTCTGTGTGACCAAAGAAGTAGGTCATTCCAACTGATGCTGCTTTGCTGCTATACCATGTGACAACTTGCACCACACCTCCTCCTCTTCCTCTCCATTTATACATTATCATCTTCCCAATTTAATATTTGCCTGCCTTACTGCTATGTTCTCAGATGCAGGTGTAAGCTGTGTCTGTAACTGTCTTCTTTTGCAAGGTAGTGTGATGGTGAAGATGAGGGAGCTGCTGGCTACTACACAGCAATGAGACATTGTGTGTCTAATTTGTTTTTCTGCTTTTAAGGTCTCTTGGCTCTTGCTCACTTTATTTCTACACATCTGTCACGGTTTGAGGCTGGGCTGGCCATGGAGTCCAACGTGGGGCATGACCACGACCCTGGGATTAAGAGTCCCATGCTCTACCTCAGTCGGTAGAGTTTCAATTTTTGTTTCAATCAGCTTATTGTTTCAAATGGGTTTCTTTCTCAGGACAACAGTGCTAAGTGCCTGAATGTCTAGAAAACATCCAAAAAAGCTGGTGTATGGTTTACACTGAAATGCTTGGGAGTTATGCGATGCTTACAACATGCAGAGTGGCTAACATTAGTCTATGTCCTAATGTCACATGTCCTTTTTTACTTCCCTAAATTTTCTGAGATTTTATTTTACAGTTAAAAAAGAAGAAAAAAAGTATAATTTGTCTTTCTATTGCATTATTAACTTTTTTGATTCTTACACTTTCCTTGTTTCTATTGAATTATAGGATGAAGTTTGTCCCAAAGTGGATGGAGATCTTATTCAGCGGTGTGTATGGGCAACTGCTGTTAATGTAAAAGACAAGTTCATTTACGTAACTCAGCCCACTCTTGACAGAGTTCTTATTGTAGATGTACAGTCTCAGAAAGTTGTACAGGTATTTATTTATCATTTTTAAGTTAATATCTAATTAGGAAACAAGAATTTAAGGTTTTCCTTCATAATACTAAAAATATGCAATTAGCTTGAGAGTAAACACAATAACTAGAAAAAAGCTCATCTACTTTCAACTTTTAGCATCAGTATGTTTAGTGACTGTTCTTGTCAGTAGGCAATTGGGAGGGAGAGAATCAATGTGAAAATACCCCTTATAAATATTAAGTTGTTAAGGAAACAAGTTCTTTGGGAAGTTTCTAGATTGAAGTACTTTTAATTTGAAAATGAAGATTCATTAAAGTAGAGTTTTATCACAGAAATGTATCTATCAATTTTGACAGGAAAGCTCAGGGGGTTAGGTTTGGCTACAGAAGGTGGACTGTTACTCAGTAAGCTTTTAGACAGAGAAATTACCAGAATTGTGGAAGACCCAACACCACCCTTAGTCAAGATTGGAGACTATGGATTCAAACTTCTCTATTCCTCTCTACTGTGTACGCAGTACTATCAGTTTCTCAGTTTCCGGGATGCTGGAGATACACTGCTTAGTCAAAATAATTCATTGGTTAAAAGAGAGAAATCAATGCTTTGGTACAGGGATAAATGCACTCATATAGTTTGTGGAAGACCAAGGTAAAAGACAGTGCTAAAATACATATTAGGTTTTTTTGAGCAGTAAAGTTCCCCCAGGAGGACCTGAAAGCGCCACAATATACTCTAAATGGTCAGTAGTCTCAGTGGGATGGAGTAAAAATTCCATGTTTAGTTGCCACCACTCAAATAAAATGTGATGACCACTCGACTCTTGTCTCTCTTTCTCTCTCTTCTTTTTTCTTTATGTATCTGGTGGTATCAATGATATCATTGTACTATGAGGTTAAATAGGGGATTTACATGAGGGCAGATTTTAGTCTGTGGAATTGTTAAAGACATGTGGAAATGAATTTAGAAAATAATAGCCATAAACTCAGTAAATTCTAAAAATATGTGTTTGTGTTTACAAGGCATATGGAAAAGGGAAAATCATAACGCTTTTTTCTGTTTGGTTTCTGCCTAGTATTCCCATCATATTATACTATTTTTCTTTCTTATTTTCTTATTTTTAATCAGACACATACAATAGAATATATTCCATTATATAGTCTTTACTTTTTCAGAATGAAGCCATTTCACTAGAAAGATTAGTTTTATTTCACTTTCAGTGGCAAAAAAGGTCAATCAATTATAGTTGGGGACTGTGAACAGCCTTGACAGCAGACAAGGGGCTTGGTTTTTGGTTGGGTTTGTGGGGGGGGGGGTGTTAAGTACATTATAGATCATATAACATACTGAAATTTACTTTAAAAGCAGGGTTCTCGTTTTGCTGAAATACAATTGTTTCCTGGGCAAAAAGCTCTGAAGATAGTTAATAACTTGTTAACCATCCTGCTGTGACTCTTAAAAGAAAGGACACTTGTATATGAAACTGATACAGAGGTTTTGACACCACACTGGGTGTTGTGATTCAAATTTTAATCATACAAACATGCCTAACATCTACAGGGTTGCTGATAGTATCATCACATTCATAGGAAACAGATGTTCTTTAGCTAAATAAAATATGGATTTTTTTTAAATTAGAAATCTAATCTAAATTGTTAATAACAATATTGAAATGAAGCTTTTCTTTATGCCTTTTGCCTTTTTCACTGATAAATGAATGAAAGTCTTTAATGTATAGATTATAGATCATAAATTAGGCTCTGGGGAGACACTGTTACGGCCTTTCAATACTTAATGGGATCTTACAAGAAATATGAGGAAGATTTTTTAATAGGGTCTGTAGTGATAGAACAAGGGGTAATGGTTTTAAACTAAAGGAGGGTAAGTGGAGACTAGATGTAAGGAAGAAATTTTTTACGATGAGGGTGATGAAACACTGGAACAAGCTGCCCAGAGAGGTGGTAGAAGTCCCATCCCTGGAAACATTCAAGGCCAGGCTGGACAGTGCTCTGAGCAACCTGATCTAGTTGAAGATGTCCCTGCTTACTGCAGTGGGAGGTTGGACCAGATGATCTTTAAAGGTCCCTTCAAACCCAAAACATTCTGTGATTCTCTGATATTAGTATACATATGTATTACATATACTAATGCAACATTTAAAAATACATATTGAAATTGCAATCTTAAAATTACATTAACTTGACAAATAATTTTAATTTTAATAATTTTACATTCTTTAAACATCTGCATTTTCTGCCTTCTATATTCTATGTCAGCTGTAGACATAGCTCCCTCAAAGTCTGTCAAACGGTGACAGGGACTAATAAAACGTTTTATTCAAAAGGTTAATAATACAAAATTATTAACTTTTTGTCTTTTCCTTTTTTTGTTTTAGTGAAATTTATCTTATCAGAGTAGACATGAACATAACAATTTTTTTTTATTTTTGAAAAAAGACTTTTTTTACAATCCATACAATATATTTCTTCAGGAAGAGAGACTAAAAAAACCACAGTCTTACTGCAATCCACAGGTTGGAAGGACTGGAATCTCTGGCAATGGTTTCCTCAGTCTCTGGCTAACATTCACATGTCATCTTGCTTTTCTATAGATGATGGATGAAATACCAATCTAATTGTATTTATTAGTATTTAGACTTCAGTGGCAAGGGCATATTATGCCTTTTGAGCTCACTGAAAAATATTACGAGAAGTGGAGGTTCTTTTAAACTTAGGTTTTATGGAATAGTTTGATTGGTTTAATTTGCCTTCAGTTACAGTAGGTATTATTTTAATAAGTACTTAACCATTAGCTGAATATTTAGAGATACTTACAACAATGATGTATGTTAATTAAAAAGTAAAATTGAATAAATTAGCCACTAATTAAAAGTACACCTCTCCCTGAGAAATCTGTAAAGCAATTCTCCAGTTTTTGGATGGAGTTAGATAGGTTGCTGCTCTGTCACGTTAATATTCAAGTCTCTAATGAGCTGAAGAACAGACATACAGGATGCCCAGGTGTTGCACAGAGCTCAGGGCACTAAGTCTGTGCTTCTTAGCAAATATATTGAGCTAAAACCTGATACTCCGCAAGCATTCAGGCTAGTCCATGAAAAAAAAACTCACTTTCAAAGAATTTTTGAGGGATAGAATAGCATTGATTTTCCATTACTTTAAAAATATCCAGATTGTGAACTTAGAGAAGTATAGAATGAAATTTATCCCATCTATGGAAGCCTTTTGGAGACATGAAAGTCTCTGTTTTGATGGTTCTAGGATGTTTAGATATCAATGATAAAATATCTTCCCATTTCACAGACATTTGGTAAGACAGTATGACTGTGGGATAACAGATAAGGAAATTAAACAAAATGCATTACTGTCACTTTCAGGCACATGAATAGAATTTCTGCTTTTTCTTATGGACCTGAATATTATTTCCTAGGACACAAGTAGCCAAATAGATGGGAAAAGTACTATGGGGGTTGCTCTGAGTCCAGCTTAATCATGCTGATATTCAAAATTGAATTGGAAAAAAAAAAAAAAAAAAAGGAAAGTAAAAGTAATTTCAAACAAACAAATAAATCATGAAAGCACAATGCCTACACAGTCTTTTACAAAAATTTAGTGACAAGTCAGATGATACTTTATTCAGCGTTTCTAATAACAAGCATGGCCCTGCTGTCTTCCTTATCTTTTCAAAACAAACATTTATTTTTGTTTTTTTTTTTCAAACAGCAAGGATTTTTCTAACCATTAAATGTTGCTCTACTCATATCATATACACATACACAAACAGGAAGCAAGGAAGGGAGCTTAATTTCTCACTTAGACCAGTCTATTTTCATTACTTACTGTATTGCCTAGCTCAGAAAATAAAAAATCAAAATGTAAATGGTTTTTGGAAGATAGATACTAAGTTGTTCAGAAATGAGAGCATTTTGCTTACTAGACTGCATTTTCTCTAAATGTCATATTAATACACACGATATTATATACATTTTAACTATTTCTATTAGATATCTTAAAGAAGAAACCACCTATCTGCTCTGAAAAAAAAAACAAGTTTTCAAAAATTTATACTCCAGTAGGAAAAAATGTGGAAAAAACTTTTTGTTTTAAAAGTGAGGAGCACTCTAGTAAAAATTCAATTAAGGTGCAAAAAAACCTAAAGACAACTAAAAATGTATTTGAAAGGGCTTTAATTTGTGTAACTATGCTGATTTCTCTGTAAAGATAGTGTTGATTTGGTTTTGTTTATTACAGTGTTTTGTCTGAAATACTACTGTATATGTTTTATATATTCCTTTCTACTACAAAAGTTAACATAAAAGACGTGTGTACAGGTGCATATATGTAACAACTAGAGTTGAGGATGATTTATTTCTATGACAACTATATTTATCAAAATAAGTACTCTAAAAAGATTGTAGAGCAGACTAAATTGGAATGTATCAGAAACATGGATGGTGTATCTTTAGATAGATATATGTAGACTTCTTGATTTAGCCAGGTAATTCTCATTGTAAAGTTAAGAAAAGTATTTGCTTTCATTTGTAAATTCTTGAAAGCAAGTACTGTCACCTGCAGTTGTCCAGTATTGCTGAGCAGTGCACCATTAACTGGAACTTAGAGGCAGGCTGAAGTAAACAGAGCTCATCATCGTTCAGTCCGCAGTGTACCGCTGGCAGATCAGCCTAGCTAGAAACAGCTATGAGATCCTGCTTCCAAGATGCTCAGCTCCTTTCTGCTGCTGACTTCTGGGAGGTGCCTCGTGCGCTTCACTCTGCCAGCAACTCCTTCTCCCTCTCCTGGCAGTGCCACGGCCCAGACCCTGAAGGCAGCTGGCACTCATTTGGCAGAACAAATATGGGTCAGACCTTTTGTTTGGGGAAGCCAAAAGGGAGTTTGACACACCTGAACAAATTAGCTATAGAACAACCCAAGTGTTATTTTAGACAACTTGTCTTCTAGCCTGCAGCAGAAAAATGTTATCAAACACGAATGACCTTTTTCAAGGGGTATCTTTCTGATTTTAAATGAACCGGTGAGCAACCTGGCTTCATTTTCTATTTTTGAAAGGAAAAACAAATTCTGCCTAGATGAAGCTGTGGCTTGCAACACCTCTGGAGTACAGTTAAGTATCATCAGCAGTCTCAGGCAGCCATTAGTGCATTATCTTGAGGATCTACATCATTAGTTTAAATTAGGTTCACTTAATTAGCCAGCTGGTACTTTCCTTGACAAACTGATAAACAAGCTGTGCTTTACAGTTCCATAATGGTCAGACTAAAAAAAAAAAAAAATTCACCTATTTTTTCTGCTTTAATGATAAAAATAGAAAAGTAATCCCCCCCGAGTTGTTTACCTGCTGCAGAATGTCTCTTAATCAAATACGTTGTCCTTCCATTTCATATCTCTGAAGTCTTCAGTTCTTCTCATAACAAAGGAACTGTGAAGATCAATGGTCTAAAAGGTTTGTGGTCTCAACAGACAGCTCTTAAGGCTGTGGGGAAAACACTTTGATTCTGATCACATGTCTACTGAAAGTAGCAACTGTAATTGGAAAACACATGAAAACAATTTTTCCAACTTCAACGGAATATGCCCATTTTAGCAGAACAGGAAGCTTTGGGTGTAGCAATATTGTGTTTACACAGAACTGTGTATTAACACCTTGCATTAATTTCAGTATCCGGCTTGAGAATACTTTTTCTTTTTTAGCCATTTTCCAATAATTGGTGTAGTTTTTAAACTGATAGGTATAAAGGGAGAGTGATGGTAGGGAAGGAAGATAAGTACTTTTTTACTTGATTTAAACCTTTTGTTTTCAGCTTCTTAATAGCTTCAGTATAATGTAATGTCGATGCCAAACGTTAGAGTATATAATGAATAACAATTGCTTTTTCAGCAATTCAGTAACTTTGAATTAATCAGAGGGCAGTTTCAACAATTGACAACGTAATTTTAAATACAGTCTGAAAACATCAGGAAATGCATCTCTAGTCACCATTTTAATTCAAGCATATCTATTATTTTTCATTTTGAAAATGTGACAGAAGCTAAGATTTTCTATTTTTATTATGCTTCAGGCAGTAAGTACAGATCCTGTTCCAGTGAAACTACACTACGATAAATCACATGATCAAGTCTGGGTGCTGAGCTGGGGAAACATGGAAAAGAATTCACCAACTTTGCAGGTGAGGTGATCAGAATGATTATGTATAAAGAAATCTAGAAAAGTTGAACCTTTGTGTAAATGCAACATTTTGTATGTTTTCCTTTAAACATTATTATCATGACCCCAGCAGGGGCAGTGAAGTGATTTCAGGTAATCAGAAAACAATTCAGACAACAGATTTTGCTAAAAATGTTAGAGACTATTTTCAACACCCTTACTCAGAAGTGACAATTCTAAATTAGTAGAACAATAAAGAATACAGCTGAAAGCAGCAGCATGTTTGTAACTGCCAGTCTCTTAAGAGCAAACTGTTGGTGTTTGTAGTGGTTTTGTCCCTAATGAGAGGATAAACTGGAGATCAGGCATATTCCTATTTCACTAAAATTATTTTGATGCTCTAGAGGTGACAAGCTCCATCTTTACTTAATGTTTTTTTCAGATATAAAATCTTAAAAATCTTTAATTTTCCCATGCCTCATAACAGTGGCAAGCCACGGGACAGTCACTAAATAAATATCTCAAGAAGCTGTACTTGCATTCTTATTTTTTCACTACTTTCTGTTCCTTATTTAAAGTAATCCCATGAGAATGTAGTGACTGTATTTATGTCAAAATTTTGAAATTCCTTTTTATTTCAACTTATTTTCCTTTTCTTTAGAAGTTAATGAAGTCTGTATGTATTTTAAAAAACATATGTAAGATAAAGAATAAGAGAAATTCAAACACAGAGCTTCAGCAGAAAAATGAGTAACATTTGAAAACATCCTTTTAACACCTACAGAGTCTTAGTAACTATGAGTATGCAAGGTAATTTGTGAGAGTTTAGCTCTCACTTCTCCCCAGAAAATGACTGATAATTGAGTCAGCCTTATCATGTTTTAAAGTGACTGATCATCTCCGCTCTCATTTTTCCGTACAGTACAGATAATAGACTATTTTCTTTTTTTTAATCTGCTCTTAAGTGCATGTATGTGAATATTATAGTAGCTATAATCTGGAAATATCTTTTGTTCACCCATAAACATTCGACTCAGAGAAGGTCCAAGATTTGAGGATTTGAAAAAAATTGGTTCATAACAATTTAAGGAATGTGTAAACTCGGATCACCTTGCTCTTCTGAAATGCGTCTGTGCTATGTTGGATCACCTCATGATTAGCAAGAATTGGGAGTTTGCACAGCCATAGCTTCCTGTGCATCAGTTGATAACATTTTATCTTTTCACTCTGTCTGAAGTGCTTAAGAAATTTAATCTCACTCTAGGATCTAGTGGGAAAAAAAAAAAAAGGTAAACAAAAAGCTTAGTTTGCACTAAGAACTGCTAGAGGCTTTACTAATGTAAATGAATAAATATAGACTCAGTGGTGGAAAAAAAAAAAAGAAGGGGGGTAAATATGAAGATTAAGTGGTCAGGTATGCAACAGTTCTCTGATATCTGTAACACTGGTCAGCTTTATTCACTGTTATTTGTGTTCTTTTTCTTGGTAACTGAAGCATAATACAAGGCATGAAATACAGAGCCAATACCATATGAATTTATTTGGGAACAGAATATATCTTGAAAGAGTATTTCTATGGTTTATAATGATGTTATTTTATATAGGTGATAACACAAGCCAGTGGGAGTGTTTCTCATCACACAATCCATACTCAGCCAGTGGGAAAGCAGTTTGACAGAGTGGATGACTTTTTCATTCCAGCTACAACCCTCGTCATTACCCATATAAGGTAAGCTTTAGCTGAATTATAACTAACTGTCAAATGAGCTATAACATTGTCTCCAAAGAAAATGTATCTTGAAAACCCTGAAAAATATGAGACCATGGCATCTGCTTCAATACTTCTTTGGAACACCCTTCTTCATAAACAAACTAAATACAAGTTTTATTGAAAACAAGCTAGGTATCAGAATAAACACATTTATTAGAGTTTTTCTTCGTTATCCACCAAACATTCAAAAGTTCCACTGCTTTACATACTAAAATTGACATGTAATGTCATCTGGGATTTTCTGGAGGTAATGATAACTTTAATATTCATATAATTTCCTAATTTAGGAGCCTAAGTCTTAATTTGTAAATAATACTTACTAATTTCTTCCACTGCTCAGAGAAGTTGCCATATATAATATTTGGCATATTGTATTACATTTATGTTGTATTTCAGTTATTCTTTTGCTTAAGGGACCATCAAATATACTTTTGAAGTTTTAAAATGAATAGTGATACAATGTAACATAACTTTATAAACTGTCTTCTCCTCCTCATTCGATTCTTTCTACCGTTTTTTTTCATCAGGCTCTCTGTTTTTGAAACAAACCATGACTGAGCATGTAACATAAACTCTGTTTAGAAGCATGAATAAAATCAGTTGTATTTCATGGGTGCTGAGTATATGATGTTAAAATGGTTCTTACTGTAATCCATGCCAGAAAACACTGTAAATTCTTGGGACCTTAGTTACTTCTCTCTGTGAATGGAGGATTGTCTTTGTGTTTGTCCAAAGAACAGCCAATTTCTGACTGTGACAGAAATACCATTAGGTACGGAAGAATGGAACAAAGTGACCAGCTGGATTTTAAAAGAGTGTGAGGCAAAGAGGGCAACACTTGATCAAGGCATAAAGGAGAAACCTTTTCAAGATCCCCCTAAAGCCTCTTAAATGAACATCAATTTTTCTTCCTCAAAATACATTAGTAAGAACGTGAAATATAATTTTCTTTTCATATTTTTTCTGTAGCATTTTTACCTGTAGGGATTGAAAAATACTGCAGTGTAGGATTTGTACATCTGATATTGCATTAATATATATTAGCACTTTGTTTAGGACCGTTAGTTTCTTTGCATGCTGACATAGATCAATTTCAGCTCAAAACATCTCTGCAAATAATTAACTCAATTGTCTATTCTGCTCTCCCACGTTCGAGTTTCTATACAAATGCTTTCATCAGGGTGATCTTAACTGTGCTACAATTATGAGATACAATCATTTATTTTTAGCTAAAATCTCAAATCACATACGTAAATATGCATCTCCATTAAAAAATATACAATTTCTGATTGTAATGAGTGGCAGTCTTTTAAATGTGAAAACATGCAATTTAGGATGGTTTTAGAATTGGTTCCAGAATTTACTTTATATGTGCTTGTGATGAATCTAGTCTTCCGTATCAAAAAACATTTGGCTTCTCCTAAAGGGATTGTTGGTGAAAGATGATTTTTTTTAAAATACTCTTAACTAACAAGTAAATTAGCAATCAGCCACATGCAATTTAAAAAGGAATGTGTAAATTAATGTAGCTGAATAGTAAATTGACTCTAAGTGCCATTACTGTCACATTTCTTGAATTGAGTATATAAATGCACATTGTGTCTCTGAAGTAATCTGCAGTCCTCACATCCAGCCTTAGAAAAGCATTAAATATTTCTGCTACATTTGGAACTGGTATGCCTTGAGAGAACAAAAGTTACCACTTCATAAACTACCAGGTACTAGAGGTACTGCCCCAGCAGAACTGAAATTTAGATACATTAATTTTCACATAAATTGGAAAAGAAAAAGATGGGTAGGGATAACCATCATACAAGGAGGGGAACCAGTAGTGGGAAAACTAAAATAGGCCCAGTCCAAAGGTAGTGAGGAACTCATCTTGTCCAACTCAACCAATTTTAAGTTGATATTTTGCCTAAATATGTCAAGTAGGCACTTTTTGCTTTGCATGGTGAGTCACAGCTCCTTTCAGCTGATGAGTCATTTCACCTGTCCTATATGCAACTTAGGAGAAAAGAGAATTAAATAAAAGAGAAACCACAGAAATAAAAAAGGAATATGAAATTCAATTAAACAGTGAAATAATAAAATTGTGTGAGTGACTGTATATAGATAATAAGCATGTACATCAATTCAGGCCTAGTATAATTGTTGTGACTTTTGCTTTTGCCTTTTTCTTTCCTTTTTTTTTTTTTCTTTTTGCATTCATATGCCAGATAAAGACCAATAGAAAATTTCTAAAGTCTGACTAAAAACCTGCAGTAGTTTTTCCGATGATAAAACCATAGATTTGGGGGCTTTAACCAACAAAAAGTTAAACAGCAATTAATAAGTTTTACCTACTCACGAGCTTACTTGAAATGCAAAGAATCTTGTTCTAGTTTTCTAAAAAGCAATCTAGTTTTGAGTGCCTTTTCTAGAAAAGAAAAAAAAACAACACTATGTAGACAGATACTGTATTTTTTTTTTAATTCTTTCAAGAGATATTTATGTGAAGTTAGTCAGTCATTAAAGAATTTGCCTTACATAAAATGTGGCCTTTAACTACTTTGATTTTTTTTGTTTAAATAAAAATGAAATATATGAGCAGTGTGTCAGGAAAGGTTTTAAATTAACTGTATTCATCAGATTAGCAGTGATGTAGAAAAAACTGTCTGTTAAATCTGAATTGTCATTAATCAACAATAAAAATGTTCAATAACAGTATGTGTTTGTTAAGGATGTTAGGCAACAAACATAAAGCTTAAGCTCACTATTCTTTGGCATATGTACCAACCAGGGGAGCATTTTATGAGCATGGACCACGAAAAACAACTTCAAGGGAAATAACCCCACTGTCTGAGTTAGCTGCTCAAGGGCCCTATTTACTCTTTGTCAGAAGTCAGTTCCCTTTGACTATGCAACACCAGCCCCTTCCATAAAAATGAAAGCTTTCTGTAGCTAGGTGCATTTGTCATCTGTAAACTAAATTTTGAATGATGGAGCAGAAGACGGAGTGTACATGGCTTACCAAATTAGCATACAGAACCAAATTTTCTGTCTGAATAAAGGCATTTCTAAGCAAAAAAGGCATGCCACTTAAAAGTATGAATGAAGTTTTGTAACACAGTTAACACAATCTACTACCATCTACAGTATATTACCATCTACTGCATATTCCATCCAATCAGTTATTCCTTAACCACGGTAAAGAACAAGGGACAGAAGGTAAAGATAGGTAGGCTTGTTGACATGAAGGAACAAAAATAAGAGTGAATGATTTAAAGCTATGGGGTCATTAATTTTTTCTTTTTAATAATTTCTAAAATGTTAATTGGTAACTATATGTATATCATAGAATCATAGAATGGCTTAAGTTGGAAGGGACCCTAGAGATCATCTAATCCAACCTCCCTGCCATGGGTAGGGGCACCTTTCAACGAGACCAGGTTGCTCAAGGCCTCCTCTAACCTGGCCTTGAACACCTCCAGGGAGGGGGCATCCACAGCCTCTGTGGGAAATCTATTCCAGAGTCTCACCACCCTCGTACTGAAGAACTTCTTCCTAAGATCTAGTCTAAACCTAATCTCCTTCAGTTTAAAACCTTTTCCTCTTATCCTGTTTCTTGACACTCATATAAAAAGTCCGTCACCAGCCTTGCTGTAGGGTCCCTTCAGGTATCGGAAGACAGCTATATGGTCCCCCGGGAGTCTTGTCTTCTCCAGGCTGAACAATCCCACTGCCCTCAGCCTATCCTCATAGCAAAGATGCTCTAGCCACTGGATCATCAACTTGTTGTAAATTAATTTTATTTAAGAAGTGATGGAACTATACATTTTCTTTACCGAGGTAGGTTATTTTTTTATATGAAAATGGAAATGGGCCACCCATTATTAAAAAAGGAAACTCCACACATTTTAATGCCCTCTTGGGCAGCAAATAATTCAGGATACACTTTTGCCAGATCAGACATTTGAAGACGTGCTGGAAATTTTGGTCTAAGGTAAACAATAATTCATCCCAAAGAAATAAAATGTTTTCTCAGATTTTTTCTACCACAGACTGAGGCAATGTTTGGTTGTACTTACAGTACAGCAGAAGTCAGGGCAAGTAACTGGTTTAACAATGAGCAAGCATAACATTCATGCTCTGAACAACTGTGATGAGCCATCAAAGCAGCAGCTAGGCAAACTAAGTAGGCATGAGCCAAAAGAAGTTGAGGAAGAATAGACCAATTCTGTTATTTTTAAACACTCTTGTAATTAGTGGATAGCTGATAAGTATACAGAAGAGGACAAGAAAAGGAGCTTTACCATTTTGAGGAGAGAAATATGACAGGTTCAGTACCATCAGTCAGTTTGGGGGTGGGTGAGGAGGTGTCTCCCTCTCTTTTATGTTCCCGTCAAACTGTTTCCTTCCACAGCTAGGGTGAAGGAGAAAGAGTGAAAAAAACACCATTAGGAATCTAGCACTGTTGTGGCTGTAATCCTTTTGTAAATGCTAACTATTTATAAACATACATATTAAAAAAAAAAAAAAAGAAAATATATACTAATTCTGGTAAAAATCTACTAATTACCTCCCTAATAATGTGTAAAGCGCCCCTCTGATGTTTTTGATAGCAAATCCCTGTTTGTACAGAGAGCCTCAGCTGTAGATAGATCAGGTTGGCACCCCATGATAAGGCTTTAAAAATGTAGGTGACTTAATTCTAGAATTTCTATGTGGTTTTTTGACAGCACTAGTTCACCTGCTGAATATAAGGGAGGGGTTGCCTCATGCCTTTGAGCATTCCTTCATGACAGAAATAAATTTCCCTCTTTTTCTTGGAAAACTTTTTAAATGCAAGCTTAGACTTAAGAGAAAGTTGTTGTTTCTCATGGCTTTTCATGAGTTTCCTATGCCAGCTAGTCGTAATGTAGTGCATTGCACAGAAATTCCTAGTTGATCAGTAATGAAAAAAGAGGCTATGGCATAAA